AAAGTGTTATGTGTGTACTAATTGTTTATCTGTATTCAATTGTTTTTTAATCTATAGTTAATTTTCATAGATCAACAAAGTTAAATCACCATCGATCCTTCCCCACTCTAAATTAAATATGTCCCTTTTATTTTTTTTACTTTATCGATTTTCAAAAAATCTAACTCAGGTTCAATCACAAATAGTCCTTCAATTCCCTCTTTCTTATTGCTCATAGGAGACATATTCAAAACAAAATTGTAACTAGAGTTGGCGAGACAGAGTAAGAGATCTGTTCATTTGTTACCTATGTTTGATGGGTTTTATATAAAAAAATTATGATTACTTGATAAATTGTTGATTTGAGACGTTTTTCTTATTTGGGAAGCAATTCTAATGTGTTCATCCATCTGACGATGATGAGCTATCTGATTATATTTGCGAATATGTGAGGATATTTTTATTTATTTTTATAACATGTAGAGATAAATAACCTGTCTCTATTAAAACTCATATAACCAATCATTTTTGTTTTAGTTTATCTATAAATTTCATATTAAAACTCATATATTATCTGACTGATGAGTAAAGTCATTGAATATCAACTTTATATTCCTGTTGTTGAGAAAAATGGTTGATAAGTATTTGCTGTCTTTCTCCTCCTTCGTATAAATCAAATTCATTTATGTGTTATATGATTAAACACTTTAATTTTCTTTATTCATGAAAAATCTTTATTCCTTTCACACATTAAAGTAGATATGAATATTTTTACTTTATGCATTAATCTTTATGAGTTGTTTTTTAAAGTTTGATAACTTATTTCCGCAAATTCTTCTATCATCTTTCGTAATTGTTCACCTTCCTATTCTTTTTCACATTCTCTTTGTTTATATTAAAAATAACAATTTAATTTTTTTTTATTTTATAAAAAATTGTAGTTTTTATAGTTTGTAAAAGAAATATTGGTGTTATATGAATGGTTTTACTTTAGTTTTATACATATTGTTTAAGAAGTTTTTTGTTTTTGTTTTTAAGTTTAATAACTATTCTCTGGTAGTTCTTCTGTCAACATTTGTATTTGTTTGCCTTCCAAATTTTTTTTAACAAATATAAAGTTTGTAATTTTATAGTTTATAAAGTAAGTATTTGTTTTTAATTTTAAATTAATATTATATTAAGGCCCAAATATATATAAAAGCATATAAAAAGACCAAAATATTTAGAAGCCCATTTTTTGACAGCCCATTTTGAAAATAAAAATTAATGAGGTTTTTATAAATACTAGATTTTTAACTCGCGCTACATGCGAGTCCCTATTAATAGTTTGGGTTTATCTTTTTTTTTAGTTACTATATTTCAAATTATCAAAGATTGATAAAACTTTTCTTTTAAATAAGAGAATTTAAAATATAATATATAGTTTTCTCCTACCTTTTTTGGTTTATAAAATTTTAAATCTTATTAAGTAAAATAAAAAAATAACACCTATCACGTTATCCTATTTTGACGTGCACACACATTTGATTTCGAGGAAAGTTTATTTTCTAAGATTTGGGTGTTTTGCTTTATTTTCCATAAGATTTCAACTATATTTTTAAGGTTTCAAATATTTAGTTTTCTAATTGAATATCACATTGATGTTGTGTATCTATATATATATAATTCATGATTTATATTGATTCGCATTAGGTTTGTTAAGAAGTTGCAATGATCGTACAAAACTGTTTCTTGCTTCTCAATCAGGTATTTTTACGAATTTTAATTATATCTTTATTCAATTTATTATTGAGATTTATTTTGTTTTTGCAGACTAATAGCTTATAGCTTCATCTTTTATATAAAAATTATCTTAAAGACGCTGTTGTATTGATTATTTTTTACCAAACTAAAACTTAATGTTTTTGGAATCATCTTGAAGCTAAATTTACAAAAATAAAGATTTTTTCCAATAGTTAATTTAAAACTTCATTTTTTTTGTTAGTTAAGTTTTTTAATATATTAACTAAGTTTTTATATTTTTTTCTGTTACTTCAACTTTTTTTCTGTTACTTCAAATTTTTCATATCAATTTTGTTAAATAATTACTATAGATATCAAGGCAATTTTTGTTTGATAATTTTTCTGTATTAATTTAACTATTTCAATATTAATTATTAGTTGGATTGTCATTTTATAACAAATAAGTTCCGGGTTTTGTTTGTTACTTACACGTAATTTTTTATTGATTTATTCATTAATTAGTCTAAAATATTATTTTTATTATTTATAAATTTTATGTTAATTTTTTAAAACGTTAAGCTAAATATTACGTATTTGATATTTTTTCTTTGTTATTTTAATATTTTTAATATTGATTTCTAATTTATTTTTGTATAATTTGTTTTTTGAAGTATTAAAACTTTTAAGACATAATTTGTTTTTATTTTCCTGTTAGTTAGACTTTTTAAACTGACTTATTAAATAGCTAGCATAGATAACAAATTAATTTTATTTTTGAAATTTTTTTTCTATGTAAATTTGTTTTTTCCGTTATTGATTTCTATTTTAGTTATGTTGACATTTTGTAAGACAAATTTTTATTTTCTTTTATATTAAATAATTAGGATAAATATCATATTTATTTATTTTTATATGATCTTTGATTTTTTTAGTTTGACTTTTTGGTATTAATTTCTATTTAATTAAAACCTTTATTTCCATTACCTTTTCTGTGTTTTATTTTAATGAATTTGTTAATCATATTTAACTTGTTTGTTTAATAAAAATGCTGATGTATAGTAATGAAATTGATTTTTTTTTCAATCATACATTTAATAGCTTCATTTGTCAATTTTAGCTTTTTTATTAGTTAAACATTTATAAGTTAACTTTTGAAAAGAGTCACTATATAAGGAGTTATCACGATTTTTTTTTTAATTCAATTAGTTTGTTACTGATTTTCATCTTTATATTTTATTAGTTTAGATTTTTTGACACTGAGTTTCTATTTTATTCCGACACTCTATAGATTTAGCTTTTTTTACATAACTTTCTTTTTTTCTGTTTTGTTAGTTAAACTTATTTTTTATCTTAATTTTTTATTCTACTAATAATTTTTCTTTTTGTGTGTGTTTTAATTTAATTAGATTGTTAATCATTTTTAACATTTTTTTTTATTTAATGAAGTTGCTGATTTAGATCAGTCAAATTGAATTTCTTCGTCCTATGTGGATGCTCTCAATGGTCTAAGGCTTCAATTTTTATATAGACTAGGTGATAACCTGCGTATACACACGGGTTTATATTTTATAATATATTTTTAAATATATAATTTATATAATATTTTATTTAAATATAATAACAAACTTTTTTGTAACTGTTAACTATGATAATACATAAATATTTTTTAAATTAATCAATTCTTTTTTCATTTATACTTTTAAATGTTACTTTTTATTTTTATTTTTACATTTATCATACTAAATATTTTTTTGAATTGTTTTCTTAAATTTATAAAAAATAAGAAAGTTTTGTTCATATTTTTAAATACTTCAAATTTGCTTTAAACTACGATAAATTTTTATAATCACCCTATATTATCATGTGTATATCTTTTAAGAAATTTTAGTGTTAATTTTATATTTATTAGTAATGAGAATTAAAAAAGTTGATGAAAAGTTATTATATGGAAAATGGAAGTTGATAATAATTATTACAGTTGTGTGCTACATGATGACTTACATAGATCTTGAAAAGTTATGTTTATTGAAATAAACTTATATATATCCTTAAAATTTGTGTTTATTAAAATTTATATCCTACTGTGAATTTCCTTACGTGAATACACATGTATGAGTTAAATTTAGTTATTATTATATTTTTTTTCCTCGACTTCTTTATTGATTTCTTTTTAGTACAAAAAATTAAATATTTAAGGGTTCACGAACTATATTTTTTTCGTAACTATCATATATAGCATATGCACATGTTCTTCTTTTATAAATTTGTTTTTTTTTTGGTATATGTATACTTTCTAAACCAATACTTTTTAATGATTTAATGTGTGTATTTAGATTTGATTTCATATTTAATATTTGACGTTATATGTTATAAACCGATAAAACTTGCGATTATTTATTTTAGATTTATAATAAATATAATATTTTATTTTAAATATATCAATAATATTATTTTGATTTGGTTAATCTATAGTATATTATTTCACTTATAAGATTAATTTAATTTTAATTTTCTTATAAATTCACATATTAATATTTTAATAAATTATTTATTTCTTTTTAATTTATATACATCGAATTTCTCAATTTATTTTTTTCTGAATATAATGTTCTTTTCTCTTTTCTGACCACTTTTTACTATGTATACACATTTATTTATAACCAGCTATGTATCTTGATTCATGTACCGTTTCTGATATCTCAACACATTGAACTCTAGACTCTACTATTTAACTTGGGTATATATTTTATTGACCTGTATATAACGCATGATTATATTTTATTATACTTCCTCTATTTCAAAATAAGTGTTATTTTGATACTTTATTTCTGTTTCACAAAAATGTCATTTAATATTTTCAATGCAGTTTTTAAAATTTATTCTCAGTTTTATTTCTGTTATTTTAACTTTTTAATTAGAGAGAAAAACTGTTTTAGTGTATTGGCAAAACATATAATAGACAGTTATAAAGTTTTCTTAATTTGTGTGAAAATTTTCAAAATGACAATTTTTATAAAACGGAAGGAGTATATTTTTAAATTTATAAACACTAAATCATTTTATTTTAAATAGTTTTAATCATATACACGTGAATTATTTTTGTAAATTTTTTAAACTAGTGAGTTAGTAAAATAAATTATTTTATCATTTTCTTTTAAAAATTATAATGTTTGATTAAAAAAAATATAAAGTATTTTTTTTAAAAAATATCAAAATGCTCTAAAATATCACTTGGTTTTTTTATGACTACATTTTCATATTATTATGTATATACAGTATGTATTTTTTCACAAACTTGGGTCATAATCTATCTTATTTGTTTAATTTCCAAAGGTTTCATCATTTTTATTCGAGAGCTGTGCATACAAGCTGCAGAGGCTTAGTGAAGAGAAAGCTAGGTTCGTATATACCCAATCATTATTCTTTCTTGTCTCCTTTATAAGGAAAACAAGCCAAGTCTTCATAAGTTCTATGCGGAAAGCTTTTGGACTCCCTTGGATTTATCGAGTTGCTTGATACAATCCACAAACAGTCCAAAAAATATTGAAAATAAGAGCTCACCTGGAACTATACCACGTTGCTGATGAGTTTTGAAGGCTACGTTCTTTTAGATCTCGGTCGATTTGACTCGATGAAGCTGCAAAGTTTTCCAGCTTTAGAAAAATGGAAATGTAATCATAGATTTGATTTTTTCAGACAAAAATGGAAGCTCACAAGAACAACAATGAAATCTTGTTCTCCGATGCAAGCATAACAACGGGGAATCAAATAGCCTCTAGTTCTGTCCTTTCTACAACTTCAACATGTGTTGCTCTTTGCACCTCTTCTTTGACGTAGATATATATTCATACAAACTCATCGAACATTATGTTATTTTAATACAAATCAAACTTGCATTGTTGGATCGGTTTGAAGTTCCAATCGGGATCATATAGATTATTTGTAATGAAGAAATGTACGGTAATTTTGATTCATCATCTTAATTCTTAACATAAAATTTTTGATTCTTCATGATGAAATCCTCGGTAAGGCTGTAGATCATGAAGAAACGATCAGGGTGCTAAGCAGGAGGAGCGGTGTGCAGCTCAGCGCAATCTTCAACCGCTACAAGGATATCTACGGCAGGTCCATCACTAAGGTATAAGACAACAATAAAAAAAAAAAGACTTGGAATCAATATGCAGGTATAAAGCATTCATACCAGTTTACTTCATGAGAATGTCCTTTTGATATCTGTAATGATACATGTGATGTCCAGGATCTCCTCAATCACCCTACAAATGATTACCTGAGTGCACTTCGTGCAGCCATCAGGTGCATCAAAAACCCTAACCTGCATCACACAAAGGGAAGATACAACAATTGTATTATCACAAATGTTAAATGTGGTCTCCAATTATATCCTAATATGACCAACTGCTATTCATAATCTTCTATTAGTCTCTTCTGCACCTAGGTTTTGCACAATGCAATCAATACAGTAGGGACTGATGAAGATGCTCTGACCTGTGTGATTGTCACACGAACAAAAAAGGACCTGAAGACGATCAGTGAGCTGTATCTCAAGAGGAACAATGTGAGTCTCGATCAAGCCTTAGCGAAAGAGACATTAGGGGACTACAAGACTTTTCTTCTAGCCTTGCTAGGACATTAAGAAACTTAAGAGTTGATCCTCCAAAATAAAAACCTGAAAACAGTGCTCAAGTAATAATAAAGTTTATGTTTGAATGCTTCTTTAATCACTTCTGTTGTTTAGCTTTTCACAGTAAAACTGGAATTACAAATCATCCATTTTCGTTTAATAAAAGACATTGTTCCAAAGGAACACAAAGGAACTAAACAAACTCACTGAAGATCAGGGAAACATGCACATGTATTTAATATAGGTTCTTTACTTGTCAGCCTCTGCTTACTAAGGCTGCAGCAATACCAGCAACGATCCCAACAGCAGTAACAGCAATTGCAACGCCAATCACACCAATTGGAATAGAATTAATTAAGAGAAAGTAAATATATGAGGAAGAGAAATGCCACAAGTACAAATACCATGTGGTTTACCTTTGACAATAGTACAATAGGATCCTCTAAAGCCGCTTATAGTGTCTGAGCCTGTCTGCACTCCGGTTCAACCTTAAAAACCAGAGAAAGAAAGAAGAGCACACTGGTCAATACATCAACAACGATAAGATATTATTATTGTACTATCCATAGATCAGATGGTCAAACCTCCAAGCACCGTTCTATACAATCCCAGCTTCTTCAATAGTTACCGCTTGGATAGTACCCAACAGCAAGGAGATAGATCTTCTCCCTTAGTTTCATCGGACTTGAATCATTAACCACCGAAGCTGCGAAACAAAGCAAAACATTTCGCTGCTATCAAACCAAACCAGTAACATGGATTGAAATCATCCATCTTTGGACGTATTTTAAGGTAGCTGAGATTCCATAGATGTTAAACATCCACAAGGAAATAAAATTGTAGATTGTAAACATAGAAGTTATTTACCTTCAAGCATAGCTATCCCACACTGTATATCTGCGTGTATCTTTGAATGAACAAGAGCCCACTATAGGCACATGATGCATTCCTTCTTATGCCCTTCGTCTTGGCCTTTCTGGGCTTCTGCAAGCTCTTCCTCACATCCCTGTGAATGATTTTAAAGAATGAAAAGACGCCTTACAAGTTTTGTATACATGTCAAAAAATTAGATAAACACAAAAGAGAATCAAACATCCCAAGAAAATGAAGGAGGTATCAAAACAATTGGGAAATCGTAACCTCGAGGTCCATGAGCCGTCAATTCGGAGGAACAAATGGAGAATCATAAAAGTTACCGAGATAATGTCGACAGCGCACAAGGGAAACTCATCGCCGTAGCCTGAGGCAGTGCCGGAGAGGAAGCCAGAAAAGGAATCGACAAATTTTCCTATCGTCGCATAAATCGTTTCTGTTATTCAATACAGAAGACCATAATAGAGATTTATATTCGGTGGCTTATCGGAATTAACGTAGATAGAATATTGACCTATTTTCGACATTGAAGAGTCGGGAGATAAGACGAAGGATTTGGAAAAGTTAAAAATTTATTAAAAAAAAAAATTCAAAGCTGATGTGTCATTGAGGGTGGTGCTGATGTGTCAAACACTTGTGAAACACAAGTGAATCTTTATACAATAGATATTTAATTATTATTTAAGTTAATTTATTTAACTTCAAATTATTTTTTTTAAATATAATATTTAATTTTTAATATTTATACATTAATTTTTTTTAACGTAATCAAAAAATGTATTATGATTTAATTTAAAAATTTACCTACTTGATATATGTGAAAATTAATTGTTAATCTACAACTTAATATTTGTATATAAACTTACTATTATTCACTAACTTTCAAAATATAATTAAAATAATTTTTCGTTTTAACCAAATTTGATTATTATTGTTCTAATTAATTTGGATTTTTTTTCTATTTCAATTGTGTTTATTTAGTATTTTTATTTCATTAGCAGTATCAAATACAAAATAAAACTCAGTGTTCCAAACTCTTACAAATCTGTAAAATAAATATTGTTAATATAAATAAAAGTAACATTTACATAGTATATAAAATCACAATCATATTGATAAACAGCAATTTTGTTTTGGTCTCTGAAGCATATGTAAACTATAGAAATGTAGATGAATATGACAAGTAATACATATACAAATACGATTTCATATTAATTCATTCTGTTAAATAAAGTATGTCGAATTTCTCAAAACTTAAAAGATGTAAAAGGTTCATTTGCATTTGGCTTGTAATTTAACTTAAATATTTTTCTTAAACTACACATATATTTTGATGAGCCTTTATAATTAAACTAATAATATAAATTATATTATTTTTAAAGGAGTTTCTTAACCCAATAAAAAAAACTATATTAGCTTACCTTACAAGCTGGGTTTATAAAGAATTTATTTTTTGTTGATGTGGATGGTTAGCGATGTTTTTAGACATTTTCTTTTACATAAAAATGTATTTGTTATTTTTTCGAAAATGAATTATGATTTAATATAAGAATTTACTAACTTGATATATATGAAAATTAATTGTTAATCTAAAACTTAATATTTGTATATAAATTCATTGTTGTTCACCAACTTTCAAAATATTATTAAAATAATTTTTCTTTAATTAAATTTGACATATAATTGAATCCAACAACTATAAGTTTTTGTTTTATTTAATTTAAAATAATTTTAAATTTTAAATAAAAAGAAAACAACATAGTAAACATATGAGTACAACTGAAGCATCTGGTTACTGTTCCAAATAATTTGATTTTTTTTCCTTGCAATTGTGTTAGTGTATTGTTTTTATTTTAGTAGCAGTCTCAAATACAAAACAACAATCAATGTTTTAAACTCTTACAAATCCGTAAAATAACTATTTTTATATCAATAACAGCAATATTTACATAGTAAGTATACAAAATCACAATCATATTGATAAACTGTAATTTTTATTTGGTTCCTGAAGTATATTTAAACTAGAGAAATGTAGATGAATAAAGAAAGTAATACATATACAAATACAATTCATACTAACTCATTCTGTTAAACAAAGTATGTCAAGTTTCTCAAAACTCAAAAAGTACAAAATGTACATTTGTATTTCGCTTATAATTTAACGTAAAATATTTTCTTAAACCATACATATATTTTGATGAGTCTTTATAATTAAATTAATTATATCTATTATATTATTTTTAAAGGAGTTTCTTAACCCAAAAAACCATATTAATTTTCCTTACATGTTGAGTTTGTAATGAATTTATTTTTTGTTGATGTGGATGCGTAGGGATGTTTTAGCCATTTTCTTTTACATAAAAATATATTTTATTTTTTAAATATAAAAGTTTAATATATTAATATTTAAAATAGAGTTATGCTAGTCTATTTTTTCTGTGTTGCATATATTTTTGTAATAAGTAATGTATAAGTAAAGTCTTATAAGTATATCTTTGTAGAGAGAATAGACAATTTTTGTCCATATATGTGTAAATTACAGTTGTGTTAATTTGAAAAAAAAAATTTATTTATTTGTTATGTATATAATCTGTATGTTTTTAAAAGGTGAATGTTTTAGATTTTTATAATTTGTGAATGTTTTAAATTTTGTTTTAGAAATTATTATTTTGTAACCTTGTTTCTATTAATTATTATTTAAGTTTTTAGAGCAATTTGTTGTCCAATATAATCATTATATTACAAAAAAGAGTGTGTATTAATGCTGTAGATTTAAATGACATTTATTTTACTGATTAAAAAAATTATATTTAGTTTTATTTAGTTTTTGCTAATAACTATATTTTGCTGATGTGGCATATTTAGAGATCTTTCTAAAAAACTGAGATGGATAGCTTTAGAAGCCCCAAACTCCTCTTTTCATTTAGTATAGATAGATGATTTCAGACGACAAAAAAATCAATAGCTAAATAAAATCAATTTTAAAATTATTTTTAGTCTATGTTACTTGTGGTTAAAAGAAGATACAAACAATACCTAAATGAGTGTACAAAATATATACTTGTTGCATAAAAGATTAAATGATTTACTCGTGGCAGGTTTGCGAGGAATGAGTATGAAAAACCGAAAAATAACATATCGTATTTATGATTTAAAATTACCAACTTTAATTATTTTAATAAATACTAGCACTACTCTTCTGACTATTTTTACTTGGCGATTAATGGTAGACTAAATGCAGACTACTGGCATATTGAATGGCTATACAAATAAATGCACACTAATTGCAGACAAAATGCAGACTACAAGCAGACTAGTAATATACTGAAAGCACACTAGTGGATCCCTCTTATAGATCATTTTAGGAAAAATCATGTTTCATAATAAAATTGTGAATTATTTCAAAAGTTATCCCTTTATGTGATACGTTAGATATCTTTCTAAGTTCCGATAATAGATTTTTAACAGTCAATATGCTCATTCATTATTAGTGATATTTTAGCTCATTCATGTATTTGAATTTTCAGTTCAGAGTGGTAGTGACTCATGTCACTTATATATTAATTAGATTAGATGTTCTCTCATTTTCAATGCGAGATTCGAATATGTATCATATCATATTAGAATACTTTAACTTTCTATGAGAAGTGCTCTTATCAGTAGAGATAAGACTCTCTACCAACTTCTCATCCAAACCAGACTTATTTTAGTTTCTTGCCGCATAAACAATCACATTTGAGACCCTTGTCAATAAACTCCCACTAGGACTCTTAAACCTATAAAATGGTAACCATGCAGTGAAAATACATAGTGCAGTCGCTAGTATCCATATTGAGATATTGAAGCACCAAATCAAACCTTTGCTCTGTTGGATTGACAAGACATCAATTACAGCCAAGAGGCATCCAAATCATAGAGAGAAGTAGTACCAATTGAAAAATCTTGAGATTAATCTTGGGTTTTTGCTATCAAGTTGATCTCCTCCATGGGAGGGCAACGAGGCTTTATTACCGCCTGCACCGAAAGCCATAGCATAGAGTCCTGTAATAAGACTCATTGATTGAAGAGTTGAGGGTGTTTTATTCCCCTCAGGCTGTAGCTTGGGGTTATGAGCTTGGAACGTCAGCAAGATCAATCCCTACGAAATGGTCTAATATAATGTCTTGCAGCTCCTAGTTTCCATAAATATTTTTGACAATGTGAATGTTGGTCCATTCATGCGATTCGGTAGCTTTGGTGGTTTGGCTTAGTCTTTTTGTGAATTAAACTGGACCGATTATGGTTTAGCTTGATTAGAACGTCCTCTTTGATGCATAGAAAGACAATGTTTTATTTTAGATACTTGTTATATTTATAAAAAGCTTCCAACTTCCTTTGCTCCTCTTCTTCAAACATGTTTAGCTCCAAGTCGGCTTCTGTATGGCCTCCAACGTCTAAGGTGGGTCATCTGGTACTGATGTTCTCATCAACCTAGGCGGATGAGTTTCCCTCGGGAAGTGCAAGTATCTCCGCTTTGAGGGATCCATCCATACACCTCTTATCACTGTATTCGATCCTAAAAAAGAAAGTAAGAGGCTTGTTCATATATGATAGGGACTGCAAGACAACCAGGATATCAAGGAGCTAATTTCAAAACCTGGAATGAACTTGCCGTATGCCCTGTTGATCGACGTATATCCAGATGTCGTCATGCATTATCAAAATGGAATAGAGAAAAATACGTCAACAGCCAGAAAACAATTATGTCAAACAAGGAGAGTCTTGACAGAGAACTCTCAAGCCCGCAACCTAATGAAGAGCTAATCTTAGTGCTAAACAAGTCTCTTAAAGATGCCTATAATGCTGAGGAAGAATGCTGGAAACAGAGAAGCAGACAACTTTGTCTTATCTTAGGAGATAAGAACATGGGGTACTCCCACGCCGTAACAAAAGAAAGAAGAGCAATGAATAAATTTTCTGTCATTGAAAAACAGGAAGAGAAATTGTATCACGAGGAGACCCAAATCACACATGTCATCTCCACCTACTTCCAAGACCTCTTCACAACAACGTTTTTTGATAGAACTGAGACAATAAATCAGGCTATCACACCTTGCATCACCCCGGAAATGAATACAACTGATAGCAGGATTTTGTCTAGCTAGTCAAACCCTAACACAATTATGTCATTGCAGCATATAAAGTATCAATCCATCTGAGTTCATAAGACACTAAGAATGCAGCAAATCACTTAAGTCAAGCTAAATTCAAGGAAGCAGTTGTGATCAAACTAAACAGGACTAAAGACTGAGCTAAACAGCACAAAAGCAAAGCATGAAATTTAAATAGACTAAAGTAAGGATCTAAGATGGGGGTTATTGATTAAGAGGAGATTAGAACCTAACTAGTGATGCTTCAAAACTATTCAAACAATGCTATCTTCTAAGCATATGATTAACATCTATAACTAGCTCAATTCTTTAACACTACTCACTTTGCTAAGCACATATTCAAGACAAATTCCTTTAGTCAAACACATGATCAGCAA